GTCTCCACAGAGTAAATGTTGTGTTGTCTGTCTTCATTTTGTATCAGCGGGACCTGCCATTCCAGAATTATGAGACCGCCTTGGAGAAAGGTGGAGTGGTACATGACACTGGGATAACATAATGTGCTTCCAGATAATAGTGGTCCATGTCCTTCGAAGTAACTGCCTGTTGCCTCTGCTGCCTTTTGAACCATGTACAGTCACCAGATAGGGACTGTGAACACCTGATTCTGAACATGTAGGTTGGGGGTCTTGTCCAATTTTTATGTGGTTTAATTGCCAAGTGTCTAAAGCTTAATGTGCTGTGCTATGTAAATATTTTATAGATTTAACACTGGTTAACTGTCATATTTTGATGCCAGCAAAGTTTTAGGGTATAAAATGGTACCTGACCAACATCAAATGACTTTATAGCTGCAAGAAATTCAGTGCGTGGAAAAGTTCTGTATGTGAGGAGGAAAAAGGAAAATAAAAGTGGATTTGAAAGGTTGAAAAAAAAAAATATACAAAATTTGAACAAACACTTATACCAATAAGCACATGAAAATATGCTTATCAGTAGTCATTAGAATACAAAAATTAAAAGCTCAATGTGATATCCCTTCACTCCCTCTAGAATAGCTAAAATTAAAAAGACTGACAATACCAAGTGTTAGAGAGGATATGCAACAACTGGAACCTGACATACTAATGGTGGGAGTACAAACTGGTACAATGATTATGAAAAAGGTGGTTGGTTTCTTAGAAAGTTAATCATACAAACATTCCCACTCCCAATTATCTACCCACAGAATTGAAAGCATGCCTATTAAAAACTTATGTAAGAAAATTCATAGCAGCTGTATTCATAAAAATCCCCAAACTGGAAACAACCTAAACACACATATGCAGATGAATGGATTAGTACATTATAGTATATTCAGATAATAAAATATTACTCAGCAGGAAAAAGAAGGAATAATGTAACAGAAATAGCATTCCATAACAGATAAGTCTAAAACTAATTATGCTGAACACAAAAGACATGAAAGAGTACAATCTGTATTATTCCATTTATAAGAAGTATCTAGAAGAGGAAAAACTAAGACATGGTGATAGAAAAAAGCATTGTTTCCGGGGTGAGAAGACTAACTGGAAAGGGATAGAAGGTAACTCTGTCAAAACTCCATCAAAAGTTACATTTGAATCTGTCTACTTCATGGCTCAGACAGTAAAAGCGTCTACCTACAATACGGGAGACCAGGGTTCAATCCCTGGATCGGAAAGATCCCCTGGAGAAGGAAATGGCAACCCACTCCAGTATTCTTGCCTGGAAAATCCCATGCACTGAAGAGCCTGGTAGGCTGCAGTCCATGGGGTCACAAAGAGTCGGACACGACTGAGCGACTTCACTTTCTTATGTAAACTATAAGTGTACCTAAATTATGCTACAATAAATATGTTTAAGTGATAAAGATATCTTTAAAAGAAATATGCAAAACCCTTGGCTTCAAAGGACTTACTGGTTTATGAAAGAAATGAGATGTATACAAAGACGTGAAAAAGTAAAGAACAATACAAAAGAGATTTCAAAGCAGTCTATGACCAGTAGTCAACCAAAACTGGAGAGAGGTGAAAGAACTGCCTGTAAGTTAATATGGATGGAAAACTGTAAGGAAGACTGTGGAAGGAAGGGGAGATTTGCAGGAGCAGAAAGAGAGCAGGAGGAAAGCAGCAGGCAAAGGCACCATAAGTCTAAGCAGAAGCTAAATCCAACCAAGGGTCTTTCCCATGTCCACCCCCTGACTGACCCTTCACCTCAAGCCTATCATAGGGAGGAGTACAGTATTGTTTTACAGGATGAAGTTTGGGAAGATTAACAGCCCTGCCCAAGGCGACAGAGCTTACAGATTAGAACGTGTGATGGGAACTGGGGTGCACATGACCCCAAAGCCTGTGCTCACCCAGCAGAATTCACTTGTGAGGATAGAATTTGCTGGACAGCCATGGGCAAGAAGTAAAAGTCACAGGAGAAGCCCTGGACAGTGCCAGAAGTGGCCTTTCTGAGTTCACATGTTTAGAATTTTGCTCTATGGGAGGGAATAAACAGCGGACTCCACTCCAAGGGCTGTAGTGCTGCTCATAAACCATGAGAGTGTTTATGTCCTGGGCAGAGCTCTTCAAGTGAATTACAGCCTTGTGCACACTGTGTGCATACAGTTTTCACAGGACAAAGAAGCAGGGAGTGTAAGGAATGCTGCAGTTGGCCTCTGTCTCTTTCGGTCCTGTCTCTTCACCTTCTCCCCCAATCTCTAGTCTGTACTGCAGGACAGTTCTCTGGTTGTACTTATCCACTACCTGCACTTCTGACACAGCTCAGCGAAGTTACTTGGGTCAGTTTAAGAAGGGAGTTTTTAAACTACTTCTTTATAGCATGAGCTGCTGGCTTTCTCTTTTATTACACTTAAAATGGACCCATCTTCACTATAGTAGAAGGCAGATTTTTTTTTTTAACATTACTTCAGATGTTTTCTTTAGGCTGGTGGTAACGTAAAGCAAATGTCTCTTACAATTCTAAACCAATCTGTTAAGATAAACAGGCTTCACTTATGATATGCCTACACTGAAATCCTAGGCTTTGGTCTGTAACTCCTTAAAGACTCAATTCATACATGCTAAAATGTTTACTGAAAAAGCACGTGTGTCTATGGGCATACACATGCACATGTGCATACATACACGCGGAAATAACTTTGCCATGGAAACCACAAAAACACGTCTAGTTTAGACTGCACAGCACATACCACAAATAACAGCCCATCTTTTAAGGGCAGATCCTGTGTAGACCCAGGGAAAGCCCAGAAAATTAAACTGCAATTCCTCGAACATAAAATTTATTTCACAATCCCCCTTTTCAAGTTTATTTCAAGATAAGTAAGTCTTACTCATCGTCACTAGTTACCTTTGCGTATGTTTGCTTTTTCCTTAAATAGAATTTCAGACTTGGGCATCATGGACAAAAAGGAAAAACACAGTGAGGAAGGGCACACTGAAGGTTCAGATAACAATAGCTCTGGATTCCACATATGAATCTGAGGCAATCTGGGTTTCTAGAGCAAGTTGTCCTGTCATTATTTAAAAGAGTCCCAACTCTGCTGTGACTGAAAGCCTTGTACTACTGAAAGTATAGGAGATGCCAGGGGGCACTTGGGGACCAAAAGAGAATCCACTGCTGCTGCTGAGTCGCTTCAGTCGTGTCCGACTCTTGCTACCCCATAGATGGCAGCCCACCAGGCTTTCCCGTCCCTGGGATTCTCCAGGCAAGAACACTGGAGTGGGTTGCCATGTCCTTCTCCAATGCATGAAAGTGAAAAGTGAAAGAGAAGTCGCTCAGTCGTGTCTGACTCGTAGGGCCCCATGGACTGCAGCCCACCAGGCTCCTCCATCCATGGAATTTTCCAGGCAAGAGTACTGGAGTGGGGTGCCATTGCCTTCTCCACAGCGGGGAAGAAAAGAGCAAGAAGTCTTACCAAGCAAGAGTGTTCTAGGTCTGGAAAGACCAGGTTTTACTAGTAGACACTTTAAAAAACCATCACAAGTTTGATATCATAAAGGCTTTGATCTCTCCTGCTGGGCTATAAATTCCATGACGACATGGAAAATTTCTGATTTGTTTATCACTGTATCCCCAGCCTTGGGCACACTGCCTGGAACATGGGAGATGCTCAATAAATACTGGATGAACAATGAAGAGGATGCTGAATCGATATTCTTCATCTCTGTAATTCTTTGGATCTGATCATCCTTTAGCTGGACTCACAGGTGTGAGCATACAGCCGTATGATAAAATAATAACCACCTGCCACTCTATAATTTATTTTTGGAAACTATGACATTGACCCACTCACTGTTGCTTCATGGTTCATGAAGACTGGTGCTCCAGATACTAAAGTCTTACCTGTAAAAAACACTCTGCATTTATATTTACCTATTCCATATGACTGGGGAACACTTTCTACAGAGAGTTTCAAGTGCAATAGTTATATCTCTAAATTCCAAATTCCAGCTAACTTCAACCTCAAATTCCCAACTTATTTCCCTAAGGATATTAATAGTTCTAAGTTATTTGTATAGCCATTTATTCAAAGATGATGCAGGCCCTACTCTGGGCAATGGCTGCAGAGATGCAATGAGGAATATAACTCACTCTGTTCCTTCAAAGGCATTACAGTTCCATACGAAAAACTAGGTACTGGATCCACATGTTGACTAACAAGACCAGAATTCTATTTGTTTACTGAAATTTCCCATTTTAAAAAATGTGAAAGCAGCTGTCAATATTTTCATCATAGACACTATTTATCCATAACTCCAACTCCCATCTAGTAAACAGAATCTAATCTAAATAGAAAGGTAGATTTCAGAGATATCCTGTAACCCATTAAAAAAAAAAAGGGCAATCTACCTGATGAGGCTAGACAAGCAGTTGGCTAACTTTTTCTATAAAGTGCCAAATGGCAATTACTTTTGGCTTTCCAGGCCATATGTGGTCTGTTTCAACTACTCATCCTGCCGTTGTTGCATGAAAGCAGCCACAGAAGATAAGTTTAAAAACGGGTATGGCTATGTTTCAATAAAACTTTCTTTATAAAAACAGGCACGGTTAGCTTGCCAACTCCTGGACTAGATAAACAAGGTGTTACCTATTTGCAAGAAATAACAATACCTATTTGCAAGAAATAACAATTGATTCAGGGGACTTCCCTGGTGGCCCAGGGGTTAAGAATCTGCATTGCAATGCAGGGGAAGAAGGTTCAATCCCCTCTTGGGGAACTAGGATCCTACATGATGTGGAGCAACTAAGCCCAAGTGCCTTTGCAACTACTGAGCCTGCATGCCACAACTAGAGAATCCATACGCCGCAAGGGAAGATCCTGCAAGATGCAACGAAGATCCCTCGTGCTGCAACTAAGACCCAACACAGCCAAATAAAACAACAACAAAAACAGTGATTCACTTACTTTGCTCTTTTGGCCATTTCATTTCCATCCCATCGGGGGCTGTATGGGTAGTTCTTCTGGGCCTGGGAATAAAGCTGTCCACTGTTGGTAAAGTGATAGACAGATTGGAATGTGAGAGTTGGCTGATCTCGAGGAAAAAACAGGGGCAGGTCAACTGTAAAGACAGAAGAAAGGAAAAGAAAGTTAGGGCTTAAATGCATCTTAATACACATTTATGGCTAAATTCAAATGCTGGGTACAAGATTCTACTTAAACCATAAATACTGGTTGACGCTTAGGTAACAGGTATGGAGAGAGAACCCAAGAAATATTGGGTTGCCCAAAAAGTTCATCTGGGTTTTCCAAACTTTTTGGCCAATCCAAGACAAGGTATCTTCCCTGCCTTCAAGGAGTTTATGATTCAGGTAGAGAGGCAAATCACCCATAAATAAAAATTTAACCAATAGGAGGCATGATGTGTAAGTAGGTGCTGAAAAGAGTACTAGGAAATGGTCTCAGAAGCTGGGCAACCCCAGCTGCCTGAACTGCTGTGGCACTTATTACCCAGTCCAGTATTCACAGAGAAGTTGGCTGTATATCTCTTTTAAGTATCTATTATATCATAAACTTATCAAAGACTGGGCAGTGTCTTTCTTGTCCAGAATTTGAAGAAGACTGTTCTTAAAGAATGGATTTGGAAAGGGGATCAAGAGGGCAAGTGATGATCTTTCTTTTTTATAGGAGATGGCAACTGGGCCACCAGAAAAAACAAAGTATATCACTTTATTTTCAATCTAGCAGTGAATTTTGATACTGAGCAGTTTTACGTTTTTCCGTATATGTTACCAGATATATCTCCTCAATCAGTACGAGCTGCTTAATGGAATGCCACAGGGACTACATATGTCTACTGTTATAGTATATACTGATTTTAATATTTGCTATTTACAAATATTATGTGCTTTATGTTCATTTGGGATCCTTTAACTCCATTTTTAAAAATAAAATGACTTCCTATTTTCAGTTCAGGCAAACTATCACTAAAAACACAGACTGTTTCGCTGTCAAATTCCTCAAGGCATATAATATGTATTTCTGTAAATGTTACTCACTCCAAGGACATAGAATAGGCACATCAGTTTAAAAAAATAATAACAAGAAAAATGTGTACAGACTTTTCTAGCTTTACAGAGTACTTTTGTATACTTTATCTAATTTGATACCTATAATTCCTTGAAGCAGACATTATTTTCACCAGCTGCATTTAATAAATGACATATTTGAGACTCCAAGAGGTTTATTAACTTGTTCATACCATAGCTACACAGAGGCAGGACTCAAATCTAGTCCTGTAATTTAAATCCTAAGCTTCTTCCACTGGCTCAGGTTGCCTTTTGCTCTTGGGTTTACTGCTCACTATGTCAAAATTACAACTTAGTAAGCTAAAGTCTCTACTGTGAAGGATGTACAGGGTTCATCCTTTTGGCTCCAGGAGGCAAATACAGGAAAGAAAAAGACTACTAGATAGCTATACACGTATCACCAAGTCAGTTAGGGTGACCTTTGACTTGGAATAGGCCCACCAAGTACCCAAAATGATTTTTTGAAGGAAGTTAGGCTTGCAGCAAACTTAAAAAACAAAAAACTGTCCAGTTGGTAAGGCCTCTTAGACCTCTGAGTATATCTGACTCTGAGTCAGTGCTGTAGGGGGTTTCTACAGATGAATCACCCCACACCAAAGAAAAGTGGCAAGATTTTGAATGTCCACTCTTTAGTCACATTTTCCAAGTGCCTCAATGCAGTTTCAATACATGTTTGTTTGTGCCAAAGCAAAAATTTGGTAACATATAGCAATAATACAAAACATGAAAAACAGACTAATTCACATGATAAGCACTTGGATTCAGAAAACCCATTTGAATCCCTTCATCTTACAGAGTTTGATATGAAATATCTTCAGTCATTTGGAATAAATGTCATTTTCCAAAGCTGTTTATCTGTCTTCTGATTACTCATTTCATTTCCTCTGATTAATTTTAGAAAAAAATGCCTATTCACATATATTTTACTTTGACTTCAACTATGTTTATATTTTATATGTTTCATATATAAAATGAGATTCAGATTAATCTTCAAAGCAATAGCTATAGCATTGGTGCAAAGTATTTAACATGCAAGTTTCCCTTCAAAACAGCAGTAATTTTCAATAATAAAATTCAGTGGCAATAATTTACCAATTCAAAGTAAGTACAGTCATCATTCAGTATCCAAGCAATATATATAATATCAGAAGCTTCATGACTCTTAAGTTACCAGCTTTCTGGGGCTTTGAAATGCATTTTATTTTTTGTTCCTGTTCTTTTGTTTTATAGAAAATGAGTCGCTGGTATTTTGATAGGCTAAAAAATGATTTTCCCACCTAGTCCTGAAACATCCACTCTAACCCCTAAAATGCCCAATTAAGACCAGGACCAATTCAAAATACAAACAAAATTTTATTTACCTAAATAAGTGAGTTATTCTGATTTTAAAAACCTGTTAGTTGATATGTACCAAGATCTCCCCAAAAGTATTTGATTACATGATTATTTTGCCATGGAGATTTTTCTTAAAAAGTGTAGCTGGAGTCAATACTAAAATTTGAACACAGTAGCTACATCATTAGAAGGGGTAGGACTGGTCAGAGTCCTTCAAAGATAAAAACTGGTAATCCACACATTAATTCACATATGAGAAAATAAAATTAAAAAAATATAAATATCTTGTTCAGTTTAACAAGGGCGTATCCTGCCTGGATCAGTCAGTAGTCAGTAGAAGGATAACTTCTTTAAAAATGTTCTAAGAAGGAGTTAATAACTAAAATACCTATGAGAAATACTATGCATTTTTCTTATAATAATGATTTGAATGGTATGTTAGTTAGAATTAAAAAAAAAACAAAACAAAATTTGTTTTCCTTATCCCCAAATGCTTCTGACACTTTACATTTTGCCTACAGGCTACGTCGTGATTTTTCTGACACTTTAAAATAATGACTGCTGAGCCTTCAAACAGCTAAATCGCTTTAAGAAACTTCTAAGCTTCCAGGCAGTTTGGGCTCGTCATATCAGCCATGTTAAATCTGAGCATCTGAACATCTGCTTCCTTAGAATCCAACTCCTCTACTAGCTCAGGTTTGATTCCCTGAGTAGAATCATTCCATTGGATTCAGTTACTCATTGTCAGCATTGTTTTCACAAGTGCTTCCTATTTCCTTCTTTCTGGATTCAGAGACTGAATTTTGCCCAGCTCTCGAGCCACAGAAGAAATGGTCCCCTCCTTGTTCAGTATAATTTTCAATAGCCATTTCCTAAGCATTATTTTCTTCAAGAACTTGTTGAAACGAGTCACACTCAAACACTGCTAATTCTGCTTAACCCGGAGTTAAGGAGTTGCTCACAGGGCTCTGACGCCCTGGCAGAAAGCAGGAATAATTAAGTTCTGCACCAGCATGCCTCACGCTGGACAGTCACAGCAGTGACAGGTTCCACTGGTCACAGTCCCAGAGAACTGCCCGCCATGCAGCTTTGAGAGGCGCCGAATGCACTGAGAAACTTTGCCGCCTCTCTCCAAACCATGCTGAAGTTCTGATGGTTTTATCTTCTCTAGTAAATATGCTTAACTGCTCCTAAGTGCTCATCCTTGCACCAGAAGAAGACTTCATTAGTTTTATCTAAGTTCACAAGACTCTCGAGAAACTTCACTTCTCAGCCTCAGACCTCAACAATGGAAAAATGACACTGAATGGCCAAAAGAAAAACTCCACATTGTGTATCTGATCCACAGGACAGCTGCCAGATACTCAACATTTCAGGCTTTGTTCTAACAAGTTTGATCATATGGTTTTTCCAGGAAAAAGAAAAAAAATCTAATTATGGCAAGATTAGAATAAGGGACATTAACAGCAAATAGTGATAACTAGCAGTCTGGCACAAAGCACCGAGAGAATAATAAATAAGAGCAGACTTAGGAAATCACAAAGCATCCCAGTGTGGGGGGGGGGGGGCGCGATTCAGTGTAGGAACAAAGAGCTTGATCGGGCCCTCAAGCTATTACCATACATAGTGATGTTCACTCCCAATCTTGGTAACGGGGCCAACACTCTTGGTTGCCTAACCAACAGCCATTCTCCATCTTTTTTGGTATGTTTAGACACCTCCTCCCATAGTCAGAGAGCATTCACTCCCTCAACCTTCTATAAAACCAAGGCAAAGAAATGTGACTCAGTTCTGCCAATGGGACCCAAGCGGAAGTCGGCCAGGGGTCTCTGAGAAATATTTTCCTAATTTAAGACACATCTGGAGAAGCCCCCATTTCATTTTTGCCTAGATCTTATCACGTGAGATCTTGAGGCTTGGAGCTGGCACTCATCTCGTGACCATGAGCAGAAAGTCAGCCTGACATCACTGAGCTGTCGAATTCATCTCTTTCTGGTACCACCCACCTCTGGATTCCTTGTTATGTCAGACAATTACAAGACCTAACTATTTCAACCTCTTCAAATCAGGTCTTCTTGGACCTGCAGTGCAAGGAAACTAAAGGAAATGTTATTCCTTGCAGCTTCTGTTCAAGAAGGCAGGATAATTGTATAATCTATTTCAGAAATATTTCCATCAAGCATGGTTAAAAACATTCAAGGCGCATAAATAGGAAAGTTTTAGTTGTCTGGAAAATTCAGTTATGCGGGACAGTTCAACCCTTGAAAATGCCAGACAAATGAGGGGTTAACCATAATTGCTTCCCTGGGAGTCGCATCATCAAATATTTTCATCATTATTCACAAGTCAGCCATTATTTCATTCCTCCAAACCTTCCCAGCTCTATATTCTTGTGTGCTTGGGCTAGTAGGGAAGATGCTTCGTGGATTCACTATGTGGTGGCTATGGTTATGTTCTGATTTCCAGTCCTCTTAGGCCCCTCCAGTTCCTCGAAGCCTCAATAGGAGCTAGTTTTAATCCCATGCTGACTGGCTGTAAACTTCGCTTCCAGTGATGATTCCATCTGAGGTCAATTCTTCTTAAGAGCAGTTTATACACGTCTCATTCTCAGGCTGCCCCCACAGTGGGCACACAACCAATTAGGGAAGTTGCCACTTATTGACTGACCACCCCTGATCTTACTAACTACACACTAAAC